TGACCATCAGCTGCGCATCCTGATCCAGACCTTTATTGAATTTGCATCTTGTTGGGGAACATATTGTTTTACTCTGTTTTTTTAAAAGTTATTCCGTCTCCAACGGAAGACCTTTTCACCGGCCTTGACAACTATTATTATTATTATTATTATTATTATTCTTACCGATTTTGTGCACGCGATTTCTTGTAAACTACTAGGACGATTCTCATGAAACTTTACATCTGATAGGTACTGATAAAAGAACCTTATTGGAAATTTTTTTAATCGATGATTTTTTACTTCCGGTCGTGAGATATGGACAATTTCCTGATTTTAAAATGCAATTTTGTCACAGATTTAGTAGCGAAAACATGCTTTAGATATGAACTAAAGATTAATAAAAATGATAGTTCATGACTTATAGCATTGCAGAATCGCCTTTTTCTTGCGAATGAAGACTTTCTCAATGAAAATATGTAAATTACAAAAACGTATTTTTTCAACATATAACTCATTTTTATATTTTTATTTTAGAATTGACCATGCAACCCTTTTGCAGAAGCCAAATATGTAATTTGTTTGAAAATCGAAAAAGCCAATCTCAAGATATTAGCATTTGAAAACGCTAGATACAAAGATGGCCAAATGGTTAGACAAAGACGTTGGATTGTCAGCAACAACCGGGCTACTCAGTCCCCCTTGTGACCAAAAAATTTTATCACTTTTTCTGGGAACGATTTTTCGATTTTTATTAGATTTTATACCATTTGCAACAACATATTTGTGCTGTGTAATGAAAAGATTTAAATAGTAATAAGGGGTCACAAAGGGCCAGAATCGCTAAATCTTTGTTGCTTTATATCTTAAAAAGGGGCGCTATTTTGATAAGAAATAAATCAAAAGTTCTTCGAACTAATGTTGTCAACAATATGCATACTTTGAATTTTTGTAAAATGGCCCCATTAAGGTTGTATCTGAATCTTGGCCCCTAATTATTTCTATGTATATATCTACAACGAATAGAAATCTCTGAAATAAGTGTTGAACATGCCTACATGACGAAGACCTTTCATTTGATTTCAAGAAAAAGGGACTGGCCCCTCAAATTAGGGGCTCAGAGGGGCCAACAGTCTTTTATCTATAACTATTTATTGATCAAAAATTTTGTTATACATTACTGAAGCAAAAGTATTTTTCTTTTTACGATTGGCAACAATATATGCATACAATTTTATGAATGTTACGTAATTAGGGATCATAAGGGGCATTGTCAAATCTTTGACGTTTTATATTTGTTTTAGAGAATATTGATAAGCAATATTTAACAAAAGATGGTCAGAATAATATTCTAAACAATATGCATAATTTGAATTTTTGTAAAATGGCAATTACAAGCTTGTAGCATTCCCCTTATTTCTATTTAGCATATCTCCTCAACGAATAGAAATCTCTGAAAATTTGAAAAAAACACAAAATCACAAGACCATTTCATTTGATATCAAAAGACTTTCTGACCCCTTACATTAGGGATACATTAAATTACATTCTTTGATATTATAACTCTCTAGATAATATTTTGTTATACATTACTGAAGCAAAAGTATTTATTTAACGAAAAACAATATATGATGCAATTTTGATCATATGTTACGTAATTAGGTGGTCACAAGGCCAAAATAAAAAACTTTGACACTTTATATCCTGCTAAGGGGGAATATTTTTTATGCAATACTGACCCTAAAAGATTTTTTTAGAATTTGGTGATAAAAAAGAGAAATTTAAAAATTAATGAAGGAAAAAAAATATATATTCTCTTTTAACGAACATCTATTTAAAATCACATATCATCTTACATAAAATTCCACTTGAGTTGTTGCATCGCAACGAGACATGGAATTTCATGTTTATTAAAAGTTGGGGAACATACCTAGCTATGACATGTTTCTTTTATTATTATTTTTCATATCCAAAAGAATTTTTGGAAAAAATCTTGTAAAATACACATCCGATAATTTTCCTAAACCTTTTTTTTTCTGGGTAAGTAGGCATGTTATGTAGATTTGCGCCTCAAGGTCATTTGCGCGCACGTGCTTCAAATCGCGCACTTCAAAACTGTGGAAAATGACCAATATATAATGGATATAACCGTAACTTTTCTATTTTTAGACGAAATGTTTTGAAACTTATAATGTAAGGATATATGAGTAGTATGCACAAGATGACATGGTCAAAATAGCAAATTTGCAGTCAAGCCACGTGCGCTTCGTCTCTGATATGGCTAAAAACGTTTCAATATCTTTCTTGTTTTTTCATAAAATCATTTGAAATTTTGAACATAGTCATACTTTAGGGAGATCTACAGCCCGTAATAAAAGAAATATCATAAAAGCATGTGCATGCACGTGTGCTTGCAAGAGCATGCACGTGCAATACGAGAAATGTCCAATATAATTGATACCGACGTAACTATTTAAATTATTGATGATATGCTTTAAAACTCATATTAGAAGTATATATTAGAAGCATAGACAAGATTACATGGTCAGAAAAGCAAATTTTTTTGCATGAGCGTGCGCTTCGCTCTAGCTGACTGTTAGTGTAAATATCTTTCTTGTTTTTTGACGAAATCCTTTGAAATTTTAAATGTAGGCATGTATTAGGATATCCTACAATAAGATATGTAGCAATTATCATGAACACGCGTGCATGCACGTGCGCTGCAATCTGATTGGCTTATGCTTTAAATAGCTATAACTCCGTTGGTTTTCAACCAAACAGGATGGGATTTGGAACATGGATAGATATAATGGACTTCTACAAGAAGACATGGTCACCATTATTCACATGCATACACGTGCATGTACGTGCGCTGCAATCTGATTGGCTAAAATATATATATATATTTCTATAACTCCCTTGGTTTTACAACCTAACACTGGGTGTTGAGAAGTTTGGCAGTCATACATAGATGTAATGGATTTCTACAAGAAAGTATGGTCACCATGCTCATGTGAGCACGTGCGTGCACGTGAAATGAGTAAAATTAAAAATACACTTGAATTAGCGTATTTTTTTATACTTTTGAATTAAATACTTTGATATTTAGTATATTAAAATCTATAGATTGTGAAGATAAGATTATATGGTCATTACACACATGCATTCACATGCGCACGCGTGCAATGCTAAAATTTGAATGAAATTGGTACACTTCTGGGTAAAAAATTGTTAAAGAAAATGCATAGAGTTTGTCTTTTTTAAGCTTATAGGGAATATGGCACAAAAAGGGAGTTGGGGAGCGTTTGGGGAACATCTGTAACGGTCCCCGTTACAATTAGCACTAGTTATTATTATTTTTCTTCTTCTTCTTCTTTTTGCTCCTAAGGATTTTGCTTATTTTTATTTATAGCTGTAAATAAAAACAAAAATTGAAATGTTTTTAGGGTCAGTAACATGTTATGTAGATTTGCTTTTCACACTTAAATTTTAGCGCGCACGTGCTTGCAAGAGCGTGCACGTGCAACATGTGAAATGACCGATTTAATTGATATAGGCGTAACTTTTTTAAATTTTCGATTAAATGCTTTGAAACTTATAACATAAGGATATATTAGTAGCATAGACAATATGACATGGTATAGTTTGTTTAGAATCTCACGCGCATGCACGTGCACTTTGCATTTTATTGACCAAAAGTAGGAAGTCTTTATATCTTTCTTATTTTTTGCCCATTATCCTTTGAAATTTTGAAAATAGCCATGCATTAAAATATTTTTTGTTGATGATATATAGCAATTATCAGAAAATATATTTATGTTTACTGAGATTTTTATCAAAATAAAAAAAATTGGCTTAAAATTTAAATAGCTATAATTTCCTTTGTGTTCAAATGCTTCAGGATGGCATTTCCAACAAACAATTTACTAAGGATGTCTGCTGAACAAGTAAAAATATGGTCACCATACACATGCATACACGATTTGAATGACTGTGCACTGCAATCTGATTGGCTGAAATTTTTAATGTGTTTTTTTCTTTTTAAAGCAAACGGGGTGGGAAACAATATATAAGTTTTATTTTTTATTTAAAAATACATTGTAATGAAAAATATGCACGTGCGTGCACAAATACGGGTAAAATATATGTACACTTGAATAGTGTTTTTTTTTTAAAAAGTTGGATTAAATACTTTAATACTTAGTATATTAAAATATATAGACAGTGTAAACAAGATGATATGGTCATTACGCACATGCATTCACATGCGCACACGTGCAATGCTAAAATTTGAATTTTTCTTGGCGTTTTTAAAGAATAATGTATAGATTTTGTCCTATTTAATGAAGCTTACAGGGAATATGGCACCAAAAGGGAGTTGGGGAGCGTTTACAGCACACTTGAAGCTCAGTCTTTGTATACTTTAGCACTAGTTAAATTTGCATCATGCTTGATTTTTTTCAAGCAGTCATCTGGACTGATGTTTTTTTAAAAAGTTATTGGTCGATCCAGACAAATTTTCACCGGTTTTGACAACATGAAAAATGAATTTCGACAAGTCTGCCTAGCCAATCTCTAAAAGTTGTTGTACCTTTTGCAAATTTGTAAATGAAAGACTTGCATATCTTATTTTCTTAATATCATCTATAGCCTTTCTGATAAAAGAAACTTGAGTAAATATTCTTAAATGAAATTTTTTTTATTTCTTTTTGTGGAGGGAGAATTGGATCTTTTTTATTGTTTGTTTATTACATTTTTCAAAGATCATATTGACACAGAAGTTTTCTATCAGTAACACATATTTGACACAAGTGAGCAATATGAATACCATAAAAATATGAAATGGTCCGCTGCTATTGATGTTCCAATATTCCCAATTTCTCTTGAAGACTTTCTTAATGAAAATATGTAAATTACAAACAACATAAATATCAAATATATTGCTCACATTTATCTTATCTGCTAGGTCAATAAGACCATGCAATCATCTTATCACGAATGGGATGGGGGAGGACTGATTTTATTTTGTAAGAAATATGTCCTACTACCATAGTGGAATAGATCCTGTCGCTAGATACAAAGAAAAAGAGCAACAAATTAGACAAAGACAATTGGAAAGAAGCAACAACCGGGCTACTCAGTTATGGAGAAAAGCTCGCTCTCATGTTTTAAGGGAACAGGATTTGAGGGAGAGAATGCTTGGTCAGTATGCTCCGTATTTGTGCTGTGTAATGAAAAGATTTAAATAGGTGAATTAGTAGGGAGTCAGATTATTTGAATCATTTTTATCCTGTTTTGCTGAATGTTTTTACTGCTGCTATTTATGGATGATTCGCTCAGGTTGTCAGAAGGAAATGTAATTAATTTGGAAAGGATTTATTTGGAAATACAAGACTACCAGTAGTCAGTCACTGTCTTATATTTATCCTTATAGGTAGATATATTAAAATGGAATAATATTTTACAGAATTTTCATTATAATTTAAAAATAAAAAGTGAAAAAAATATGTTTCCACAGAAATGTCAATGCTTGTCTAGTCATCGGGATACTGCTTACCACATGTACATAATGATTCTGATATCAATTCCTATTTCACTAATAGAAAATGATCAAGAGAACTGTTGCTTAAAAGACCACTGCCATAAATATACTTCTTGTATTTTTCATCTCTGAAGTGTGTTTTGTTTACAAAACCTAGCTCAATTTTAGTACAAAAGACATGCTCGTTTTATACTTGTGCATATTCAAATGCTAGGAAAACTCAAATGCTTGGAAATTATATTATTTTGATTATTTTTTTTCTCTTAACAGTATTTTAAGTTTGGGAAATTAACCAAACATTTAGATAGTTTTTGAGAAGTCACTATTGAAGCAGTTGTAATGCTGGGTTGTTTTCTTTGCAGAACAGACCGCTCCATGGCTGTGAATGTATATAGCACCAACAACCAGGCAGACAATCTCAGTCGCCATGACATCCTGGCCTGGGTCAACGACAGCATCCACACAAGTTACGGCAAAATAGAGGAACTCTGTTCAGGTCGGTGTCGGCAAACGTATATTGTGACTAAACATGTAAAAAAAAAAATTACATTTAAATATAATAGACAAAAGTAGATAAAATCTTGAGATCAGATTTGTTAATTTATTTGGTGTTTTTTTTTTACAATGCAAATTTGTTCATTTGAAATTCACTACCATTTTAATGCATTTTTCTGTTAACAGGGGCTGCCTACTGCCAGTTTATGGATATGTTATTTCCTGGTTTGTATTATTTATTTATAGAATTTAGTATCATCTGAATAAGGAAGTTAATTACATTGTTTGTTTTAATGATATATAAAACGTTTATGCAGATATACTTGAAACATATTTAGGTTTTCTTTTTCCTCAAAGATTTATTTAACTAAATAATGTAGATAAATTTAATACAATTTTTTTTATCTATTCATCACTAGAGATAAGAATTAATATGTATACAATGTATATATGATTAAATGTTTATCATACATAGAGATATGTGCACAACATGTTTAATTGATACATTAATATTCATGAAAATGTGTTGCTGATGGCAGTTTGCATACATGTCAAACCAATTGTTCAACATCAGAAGCTGCTTTTTAATTCAAATTCTGGCCACAACATTGCTGCAAAGCTTCAAAAGTCCCTTCATCAAATAAGCAACATACATCTCTTTTTTCATCATTGGCTTTGGAAGGGGGGGGGGACAAAATTTCATAACACTTTTGCCTTATTTTGGACCTACATGTAGCAGATTTAGATACTTTTGCTTTTCTAATTTACAAACAACTTTTCAAATGGCTTATCTACACTTCTCAGTAATTTGAAAAGTTGAAATAATATTTTTATTTCTAATACTGAAAGTATCACTCTAGACTGAATGAAATCTTTTCGAGAAAAAAAAACAAATCAACCACAAAGCTACCACAAACCCAAAACCAACCAGATCCATTTCTTTCGCTAAGAGGGAAGCATGTATGAATCCTCCATGAGTGTCAGTTTGTATGGTAACGAGTGGTGTTGTATCCTTGTGAAGACATTTTACCTGTGCAACTATCAGATTCACCAAATGTTTTTAGTTGATATATTTATGTGTGATATTTCAGGCTCCCTTCCTATCAAAAAAGTTAAATTCAACACAAAATTAGAACACGAATACATCCAGAACTACAAGCTCCTACAAAATTCATTCAAAAAAACGAGCGTGGACAAGGTGAGAGAGGAAGGGCCGAGGAACAAGGAGGGATTGGTCTTCTTTTCCAGAACTTTTATTGGGATCAAAATTCTCTGCTGCTTTTCTTTTTAACATTTTCTGAAATCAGTGCTATTTTATGGCCATACCCTTTTCAGCATGTTATACAATTAATTAATATGACTGAGTTAATGCGATGTAGAATGTTTTGTTCATGTTTTGGTGATTCAGCTTCTGGAAGGGTTAGACAATGATCCTGATTTTACACCTGGTTCCATCTGTTACAGATGACCAAAGGGATGACACAAGAAGGGGAAACCTAACACCTTGTTACTTATGCATGTCCTGCTTATATAGCGACTCTCACTGAATTCAAATGTTCAGTTACAGGTCACATGTAGCACAGATGCAGGCAGAACTTGACAGTTAAACTCTAGCTTGGTATTGTGTCCTTTAAGTACCGGGGTAATTTGCATGTTGGTAGTTTGGGAACAGTGGAGAAAAAAAAAAGAATGAACTTTTCTGTGTTGGACTGTCAAGTATTCTTATTGCATCTTTGTCATACCGAAGCATGCTCAACTAACAGTTATTCCTGGTGCTATGAATGTTTCCTTCTTTTTTCCCATCTGCTGTATACTTTTCTGTATATTTCAGGTTCTATACAGATTAAAAAAATTAAATTCAATACAAAGTTAGAACATGAATATATTCAGAACTACAAAATTCTACAATCCTCATTTGGAAAGTTAGGTGTGGATAAGGTAAGTGGTGGTGCTGTTTTTGTAAACTGTACGCCATACCTTATAAGATTCCAATTGTTATCTCAAACCTTTTTATTCATCTACCATACTTTTAATTACTTTCTTTCTCTCTTTTTAAATATGTATAATACTCGTATGATACTGCAACTTATACATGCATAAAGATGTTTATTTGTTTCAAAATTTGTAGGATAGAGATTTTTTTGATTTTGATAATGATTATTTTTTGGGGGGAGGGGGTGCTAATTGATATTGATATGATTTATTTGAATAGTTACTATCCACAGGCTAACAATGTTTATTGTTTTGTTTGTATTCTAACAAAAATGAAATTTTTATTAATTTGAAAATGGTGGTGGTGATGGAAAAAAAATATGGGAAAGGGCCATGTTTTGTTCTTTTACATATAAAGTTTACATATATGTTCAAAGTTTTATAACATTGATAAACGTTGCTTTTAACAAAAATCAGTTTCTCCTAAAACTATCCATAATGTAATTTAATCCTTTTATGGCTGATATTAATTCAAGGAATTTTTTTCAAGGTGATTCCTGTCGAAAGACTGGTTAAGGGAAGGTTCCAAGATAACTTTGAATTTGTACAGTGGTTCAAGCGTTTCTTTGATGCCAATTTCAATGGGGACACAGAGTACGATCCGGTGATGGCCCGAGGCGGGGAAGTGGTGGGAAACGTGGGTAAACCAGCAGCTGTCAAATCTCCCGCAGCAGCAAAATCTGGTATCTCCAGGGGGCCCGCTAGAGGTGAGAGTTACAAAGGGAACCACAGTCATAGAAATGTTTGGGCTTTTTTGTGTTTTATAAAATCTATATGTGTCTCTCAAAAAAAAGTTTAGATCTATAAATGACAATTCCAAGTTAAGAATAAATTATCAATGAATGATTATTTGTATTTTCTGACAATTGTTTAGTTAGAATGTTATAGAATGTTGTCATAATTTTATTTCATTTTTCAGCTCCAGCAAAAACAGCCCCAAAGAACACATCTGTTATAAGTAAACCTGTAGCAAATGTTAAAGCAACAGTTAACAGCAGTCATGGAGGAGGAGATAATAGTGCAAAAATAGCTGAATTAACACAACAGGTATTAATTATACATAATGATAATTGATAATGATACAGCAGTGTCTTTCTGGTAGTGGAAATATCAAATGTTTGGTCTCGATGAGATAAGGATTCTTTGAAAGTTTAATTTTATAAATGATGATAGAGCACATCAATGTTGACAACTACTTCGTGTTGATTTATATTTTGAAATAAAAAAATAAAAACCTCCGCATGTTTCAGAATGTTTAAAGCATTCTAATAATAAGATAGAGCTGATATCTATGAAAAAAAAATGGATCTTTTCAAAATATTTCCTTCCACTACTTGAAATTTAAAGGCTTTTAGATAATGTTGATGACATTTGTTTCTTCATCCACATGTACACTGTGTAATTTTTCAGATCAATGAACTGAGGTTAACGGTGGAAGGATTAGAAAAGGAAAGAGATTTTTATTTTGGGAAACTCCGAGATATTGAGGTCACCTGCCAAGAGAACGAGGAGAATGAAGTGGTCAAGTCAATTATGGATGTCCTTTATGCAACAGAAGTAAGTCTACATTCTGTAGAATTTCTATATGGCTGGGAGACCTTGCTTGAAACAAACAGTGTAATATGTTTTATAGTTAACATCAAATCACAGTGTTATTGGGGGCAATGCACTAAACAAGGGAAATTGTAAATTTATTAAATAATGTTGCATTTCAGAGTCAACAAAATGAAGCAGGGGCAAGTTTTTTTTTTTTTCCAAAATGTTTTGATATTAAGGGTTATGCTAAAACATATGCCATTTATAGAGAGAAGCTAAATTTTGATGAAAGCATAATGATAAATTGTTAATTGTACCTGATTGTTTGGCTAGTTATTGTCAGTCAAACTTTAAAAGTTAAAATTTGACCCGCACTACGTTCTTAAGTTTGGCATAGCATAATTGTAATAAAAGATCCAAGTTTTTAATCCACATTTTCATCGTTATTCAATTTCACATGATCAAGCTATTACAAAGAGCAGAGCACAGTCAGCACACATTGCTTCCTAGTAAAATCACAATTATATTTAGATAAACACATTTGTTGCTGCATTATTTATACATACATGTACATCACATGATATTTGCAATCATGAGTTATTACATGTAGTCCCCTACTGCACAAAATTTGCGAGACAGCGGAGTCACCTGATATGTTTTTATGAACGTATCCAACTGTGAAGTTTTCAGTAATTTTCCTTCCCAAAAGGCACACATAGCGAAAATCCATCCCCAAGCTTTCTGGTTTCCAGATGCTTTTCAAAGTACTGCAATATCACATGTTTTCGAGGGGTCAAATTTTCGAGGTTTGAGGAAAAACTCTTGGTTCATGGGGATTTGATTTTATGGATCGAGAATTGTTTAGTAGTTATGTAACATTTTACGTTTCGTGGTGGACACAAATTCGTGAGTCTCTTCATACCTCGAAAACAACGAAAATTAACCCCCCGCAAAAATTTTGTGATTTCACGGTATATTCAATGTGTAAATTATGTTTACTGATTTGCATGTCATGTTTCAAAAGAAAAAGTATGAGGTATTTGCATGTAGATTTGTAAAACTGACAATGAAGCTACATGGTAAAGGGGTATCACAATAAAAGGATGGATAAATCTGTGCTGGTTTACAGTATTTGTTTACAGTATTGTTTGAATTACAGGAAGGATTTGCACCCCCGGAGGAGGACGGAAATGTAGAAGAGGAAGAAGAATACTGAAGATACAAACCACACCCACTTAGTGCTAAATAAACAATGACATTTTGGCTCAACCGGTTGCTTACATTTGAAGCTGACATGGATTCTGTTTATTACAAGAAGCTTACACCTTACCGAAATTATGTTCAATTACTTCATGTTCTGCAGGAGGTTTTGGAAGGGGGAGCTGTGTCATATACATTATAAGTGCTACCAAAAAAAAGAGTCCTTTGATTTTCACAGGCCATCTTTTTTTTCTTCTGTTGTATAAACACAGTGTACTATATATATATAAATGTGAAATATATTTATGAATGTGATAATAATATTGGTATAAACTTTGACCATGCTGTATTATTTCTATTTTTTTTTACCTTTGAGTGTAATGTAGTCTCATTGTGAACAGAATATTATTTCAGCATAGCATGTAACATTAACATTAACACATAGTTTTGATATTTTTCCTTTTGTTGCACGTCTTTATTTATTTATAGTAATGTTAAAAGGAAAGTTTTTAGGGATAAATTAAAAGACTAATTTTTTTGTTCTTACTGTGCTGTACATATGTTTGCTCAATCAGGTTAAATTTTTTTGTCTTCCCTTTTTAATTTTTTGATTTTATTTTCAAGTTTGCAGGCAGTGCTTTTGTTTAAAGCATATATAAATTAATGATACTGCTGACTAACAAATAAAAAAGAAAAATAAAAAATATTACAGGCAAAATTAAGTGATACAAAGGATATATTATTAAAATAGGGAAGGGTTAAAAATATTAGTGTATTCAAATAAAAAGTGGAGGAAAGATGTGATAAAGTTTGTAAGTCACACCAAGCATGAATCAAACTATGTTGAACAATGACTTATGTTTATTAAAGCTCAAAATACAAATGGTTTTTTTTTGTTTTGTTTTTTTATTTTTATTTTGGGCTTCGAAGAAATCTGAAATATATATTACTAAGATTTACTCCATCATAAAATCCATGTTTACTATGAAATCACCTGTTTTTGTGGGGGTTAATTTTTTCGTTGTTTTCGGGCTGTAGAGGGACTGGCAGAATTATGACCACTACCAAAGGATCACTTCATTATAAATAGGGATCTGACCTATAGGACCGGGCTTGGTTTTTTTCTCTACAAAAACCTTGTCGATTTCCGTTCTGATTAATGGCATTAGGCCAGTCCAGTCCAATACGAAAATTCGTAATATTACAAATTTTCGTAATATAAAAATTATATTACGATTTTTCGTAATGTAGTTAAATTACGAAGTACGCGTAATATAGTAGATTGTAATCATATTACGTTTTCAGTTACTTCAAGCATTGCAAGAAATTGAGTGGTGGGTAGCTGATTTTCAGATATATTTAGTTTATGATAGCAGAAAATGTGCGCCTATCAGAAAGCATGGAAATTCAAGAAGAAAGTATCGCCAGCGATGGGTGAGTGAACAATTTCTTTTATAATTCTTTTATAGGAATTTTCCCACGGATAAGACCAATTTTCCAGTAAATTTCAATGCATGTAGCATTTCTATATCAGGTGCTCTACTTTTCTGGACTATTCACACCCTGGTGTCCATGACCCAAACTATTATACACAGAATTTCTTTATCGTCGAAAAATGTCCGTGACATCCGTATTAAACGCCATACATTCCAGTTTCCATAATTTCTTGACATGAATTTGTGTTCCGTCGTTATAGTCTCTCAAGGCACTAAATCCACATTAGGAAAAAGAGGAAATAAGTATATTACGATAACCTGGAATTGATCTAAACCCCGTTTTTTCATCACTTGTTGGGTGTAGGCTGAATACATATAAAATGTTTTTCCTGGGTTTTTTTTTTCAGCACAAAACATTACAAACTGTTCATCATTTCAGCCCTTGTTTCTAAAATGTAGTAATTGATATTTGTCCTAACTTCTCAATAAGCATAATGGTAATGTTTAGATCTTAAATTCACTGTTGTTGCATGTAAGATCAAGGAATGAAATTACATAAATGGCAAGGGATTTGGGCTGCTTTGGAAGAGGGGAAGGTATTTGAGTTTTGATGGGTTGAAGTCTAGAATAAAATATATTTATCCTCTGTGCCCTGGAGGTTCCATGATGCCACACATTATACAAATATTGCTGTTTGCTGATGGTCTAGCCACCTGAGGATTATAATATTCACTGAGCTCCAATCAAGAATACAAGGATATATATACAGCAAAACTCGGTTATAAAAAAGTATTAAAATAGTTTTTGAAATGGGACCTATGAAATTACTTCGCTATATCTGTAATTTGTTATATCCGTATAAGAAATTTGTCTAATTTATATAGCTGGGGATCCAAGATAACTTTGCTATATCCGTGAATTCACAATATCTTTGTTCGTAATAAGCAAGTTTTACTGTATTGTACTTTGGAGATGGTGAATTCATTAGTATGAATTAGTATTACTGGTAAGCAGTTCATCCCATCTTACCTGTTTACATTTGCCGAAGAACTAGTCAAATGCAATGCCATCATTAACAAGTTTTAGCTTACCTGAGCTGAAAGCTCAAGTGAGCTTTACTGATCATCATCACCTTTTGTCTGTCTGTTTGTAAACTTCTACTCAAGAACCACTTGGCCAATTTCAACCACAGGCACCTCTTTTGTCAAGTATGCGATACATCCTTTAAAATTTCATATGAATTATAAAAAAATGTCCAAGACATGTATAAAATCCCCTTTAATAAACCAACATTTTTTTTCCTCTAACCTCTAAAATTTTACCCCACAAAAATATGTAATTTTACAGCATTCGGTTGAACTTGGTCTCTAACATGGTGAAGTCAGAATGGCCTTATCATATGTTTTCAGTACTATTGATAAAAATACACAAGGTATATTTAGTTTTAACAAAATGTGTGGCTAAACAAAAGGAACCCCTGTATCATTTCTCAGGTGCTTACCAAGGTAATAATTAATGTTGACCCAAACTATTATAATTCTTTATCCTGAAAATTGTCCCCATCCTTGAAGCTACATTCCAGTTTCTGTATACCCTTGACATGAATTTCATGTTCCGTCCTGGGATGGTCAAGGCACTAAATCCACATCAGGAAAAGAGGAAATGTATGACTGGACCTGGAAGTGATCTAAACCCCTGCATCACTTGTTGGGTGCTCTAACTACTAAATGTCCCTGGGTGATACCCACAGCACAAAACATTACAAACTGTTCATCACTACAGCCCTTGTTTCTAACCTTATCTATTGGCTAATTATAATACAGTTTAAATATCTAACCAATAAGATAAGGAATGAAATGAAAAGCAGCTCCAAAACCTCCTTCAACGCTGCCAATTTGAGAAAATTTTATGTATCCGATTAATATATTTATCTGATTGGAGGCATATCAAACATTAATATTGCTGTTTGCTTGGTCTAAAGAGATTAATAATATTCACTGATCTCCAAGTACAAGGTGATTACAAAATTATAACGATAGGTAACATTAATTATTTGTTATATCCTTGGAAATTTGTCTAATTTATATAGCTGGGGATTCAAGATAACTTTGCTATATTGTTCACAACTTTTGTTTCTTACCTTGTGTATTTTTATTATACTTTGAGATGGTGCCATTCTTTAAACGTATTAAAAAGTACAATCCTGTTTACATTTGCATATAAATGCAATGCCATCATTAACAAGTTTTGACGGGGAAATTTTATATTTTTGAGATATTATCATTCACCTTTTTTTTGTTTGTAAAAAAGGGGGGGGGTACTTCTACTCAAGAACCACTTGGCCAATTTCAACCAAACTTATTACAAATCATTCATGGATGAAGATGGGTTTAAATTGTTAAAATAAAGAGCCAAGTCCCCTTCCAAGGAGAGATGATCAAGATTAGACAAAAATAAGGTGGGACCATTTAAAATTCTTCTTCTCAAGAACCACTGGACAAGAAAAGCTGACACTTATGTGGAAGCATCCTGGGGTAGTGTAGATTCTAAATTGTTCATCAAGACCCCGGGGATAGGGTGGGTCCACAATATGAAATCCAAGTTTTACATTGAAATGTATAGGAAAAATCTCAAAACCACTAGAAATGCTGAAACTTGATATGTTGAAGTATCCTAGAGTAGTGTAGATTCTAAATTGTTCAAATAATGAACCCCTTGGTTAGAGTTTTACATTGAAATTTATAGAAAAAAATTAAACGTCAAAAATCTTCTCAAGAATCACTGGACCAGAAAAGCTGAAACTTATGTAGAAGTATCCTAGGGTAGTGTATATGTTAATTTTTCCTAATAATGACCCATGGAGGTAGGGCGAGATCACGATAGGTATTACAAGGGGGTATCTGTTAAAGAACAGAATAACCAATGTTACTCAGGTGAGCCATGCGGCCCATGGTCCTCTTGTTAAAGTCTACTTTAGTTGCTCTGAAAAAAGACTAATTTTTTATAGGACAGACTGTGAATGGGAGGTGGGGGCGCTAAAAATATCTGATTAGCCTCAACGAAAAGAAAATTCTCTTAGATTTTGTTTTGGGTGGGGTAAGGGCTTGGTGATTAATATAAGGTCCATTTGTGTGGAACCAGTCTTTCAATGAATAGCTTTAGTCTAAATTGCAAATGGAAATTCAAGTTCAGAAAAAAATGTTAAGGGGAAGGGTGAGTTCAGCATCCCATCCTGAATCGAAACTTGGAAAGCAAAAAACACGTGCATGTTGATGATAATAATTTTGTGGTCACATTTTGAAGTGCCATACGATGCATAGAGTTATAGATATCGTTTTTCATATTTGCAGTCGGCACAAATTTCTTGCAATCATGGTATGGCTGACGCAAGTTATATTGGATTAGTAATTGAATTGAATAAGTGAATAAAAAGTCAACAACATGTTGCTGTGCAGATTGTTTTTAACTTTCCAAAAAAAATTTTTGAACTTTTTTTCGGTTGTCAGAGAGTAACTTAAAACGACGGTGACGTTGGCGCGTAACAACGTCACATCAAGATAGTGCTTTTCATCATGCCACCTCGGTCATTGTCAAGGCATTATCACTGAAACCAATATTTATACAGCAGACAATCATACTCATTTTTTCACCTTAAAATAGACAGAAACTCTCTGCTCTAATTTGGTCCACGAGCTTGGCAACTTTACGTCAATTTTACTCTCACACGCGCACGTACGCATCGTATGCGTAATGTTTTCAGCATGTTAACACTGCAAAAATGTAGCTGGTGTTTGTCGAGACTTTCTCACAAACACTCACGTGTACCAAACCAGCTGGATTCTGTACATGCTATCCTAAATCGAAAATTTGGGATTCACTTAGCGCACGTACGCTTGTAATAATCGTATGCGGTAATGTTTTCAGCATGTTCACACTAAATGTAGCTGGTGTTTGTCGAGACTTTCTCACAAACACTCACGTGTACCAAACCAGCTGGATTCTGTACATGCTATCCTAAATCGAAAATTTGTGGGATTCACTTAGCAGGGGGATTCGTTGGCTTTGGAATAATACAGCTACTCTCAGGCGTTTAGACTACCGTCGGAAGGCTTGAATAATAATCCTCTGGCGAACTCAATACACAGGAAAATTAAGTCTTTTTCTGATGCGCAAGGCATATTATGAGATTTTTTATTTTCCATTAGGGTTAGGGGGGGGGTATCGACATATCAATTACAATAACTCAGGAATTATCAATCAAAGTCACATGAGATTTTCGTAACTTGTTGATTAAAGAGGAATTAAAATGTACGATAACAAAACTGGAAAACATATTCGAAATGATAGTTTTAATTTAATTCAAAAGTTTAATATGGGTTTCTTTTCCCTTTCAGTATAGTTAGATACGGATTCAGTTGACTCAAATTCACGTGTTACAAGTTGTTTATCATAGACTGGCGCAATGTTATAGGTTGAGAGAAGGAAAACAACCAAGTCGATACAGCCAGCCCACGAATATTGAATGAACTACTAGTACGCAGGGGTCCACCGGCAACGTGTTGACTAAGGATCCCTGGTATTGCAAGGATGCCTGCAATTCCCCGCTAACTATAAAATTATAGTTTTAATATTTTTCATTAATACACAACAAAATTACCACTTTTCTTAAGTATTAAGAATAAATTTATATTTGTGAAAGTGCAAGGGTGTGTCAATCAAACCTATCCAGAAATATCCAGATATATCCAGAAAGTTTCCATATCTTCGAAATAAAAAAAGATATTATATTTTCATGTGAAATACTATTCCAAAATATCAGTAGTGATTTATCAATCAATTACTGTAGATCACTATATTTTCGCGACACCTTATTTTCACGAGATAGGCATTGCTTCTTCATAAGCGAGACAAAATTTTCACGAATTGTGGTTATTGCTCTATATGATCCTAAGGAATACTATTATACGCGAGAATTAAATTTTCGCGAGCACACTGTCTCGCGCAATTACGCGAAAATAAAGTTCTTGCGAATGAAAAGTGATTTACAGTATAAATAAAATTTGAGAAAATATTAACTTCAAATTTGTGTCTAATTTTATTAGCACCTTTAATATGATAAATACTGCTTGAAAAAAAATATAGAAAATACAATATAATACAACACTTTGTAAGTTTTGTCAATAAAACGGATGAAAAGCAAACATTTTCAAGCAAAATGGTGTGCAATGTCGTAGTGGGAAACGCTTTCAATAAACCATATAGCTCCGAGAAAAATTACACAAATGTCACAGACTCCTATTAGAATTAATCAAGCGGAACGTCCACTTCCATAATACATTCCTTACATAACCATGCTTTGCGACGTGAAATTCAGTTTTTTAAAAAAAACATGTTAAATGTTCTTTGAATCCTTTTGTGAAGTAAAAGTCGTAATGTTGAAGGAAAGGGCATAAAAGACATAAATACTCAACTAAAAACTCTTCTTGCATCCTTTTCGACTTGCATGATTTAAAGATAAAGTTTGGGGTTTTTTTTAAAATAACCACTGGCTAAAATTGTATGTTGAAAATAGATTTAAAATAAAACAGCTTAGACAATAAGTAGAAATTTGTTTAATCGTTAATAACAAGATAAAATATTAACAGAACAAGAAAAATAAAAATTCACCAAAAATAATAATAATAACAACAAAACGTGTTAAAAAGACTGCAAAGGTCTAAAAATCAAATAAATAAATATTTCTTTCTCGGATTGAAAGTAATCGTCATCTCATTACATAATTATTAAGTACTTTCTTCTCAGCTTCATATATTAAGAGCTGACTCAACACACTACTATTTTAAGTTTCAGTTGATTTATCTCCTAGGAGACTCAGAAACCTTATACTAATACAATAAAATGAAACAAACGGCACTGGCAAAAACGCTGAACAGCACATACATCAGGCGTGATTCCATTCTTGAATCCGCTGGAAAAAAGAAAATCATTAAAATATGAAACCATACCTATACATTTTAATCTTGCCAAAAAATGTTATTAACTTAACCAAACTCTGATGAAATCAGAAATATAACCTACCTCCAGCACCCAAAGAATCCATTTGCACGATACAAGACCCAGATCCTGGCTGACAATTACTTGATGTTGTTGTCTGTCCCGCTGAAGAAGATGTTGTAGTCTGTCCAGCTGAAGAAGATGTTGTGGTCTGTCCCGCTGAAGAAGATGTTGTGGTCTGTCCAGCTGAAGAAGATGTTGTGGTCTGTCCCGCTGAAGAAGTTGTGGTCTGTCCAGCTGGAGGCGATGTTGTGGTCTGTCCCGCTGAAGAAGATGTTGTGGTCTGTCCTGCTGAAGAAGATGTAGTGGTCTGTCCAGCTGAAGACGATGTTGTGGTCTGTCCCGCTGGGGACGATGTTGTACTCTGCCCAGCTGAAGTTGCCGGGTGTCCACCAGCTGTTGTTGTCTGTCCAGCTGAAGACGATGTTGTAGTCTGTCCAGCTGAAAAGGATGTTGTGGTTTGTCCTACTGGAGGCGATGTTGTGCTCTGCCCAGCTGAAGTTGCCGGGTGTCCACCAGCTGTTGTTGTCTGTCCAATAGAAGCTTGTGTTGACGTTTGCATGCCTTGTGTAGTCATTTGCTGGGATGTGATACCTGTAGAAGCTGGCATTGATTGCACAGATGCTGAAGACATTGTAGAATATTGAGAATATTGTGAAGATGTAGGAGTATACGACTGGTAAACTGAATTCTGTGAAGATAAGGGAGGATTAGAAGAAAATGATTGGTATTGAGAATATTGTGAAGACGACGTTGGGAATTGAGAATGGGAGGATATTGATGAATATTGCGAATACTGCGAGGAAGCTGGAGGATAAGACGACATTGTTGGATATTGGGAATACTGGGAAGATGTTGATGGGTAAGAGGACATCGGTGGGTGTTGAGAATACTGGGAAGATGTTGGTGGATAAGAGGATATCTGTTGGTGTTGAGAATACTGGGAAGATGTTGGTGGGTAAGAAGACATCGGTGGGTACTGAGAATACTGGGAAGAAGTTAGAGGATAAGAAGACATCGGTGGGTACTGAGAATACTGGGAAGATATTGGTGGATAAGAGGATATCTGTGGGTGTTGTGAATACTGGGAAGATGTTGGAGGATAAGAGGACATCGGTGGTTGTTGAGAATACTGGGAAGAAGTTGGTGGATAAGAGGACATCGGTGGTTGTTGAGAATACTGGGATGATGTTGGTGGATAAGAAGACATTGGTGGGTATTGAGAATACTGGGAAGAAGTTGGAGGATAAGAAGACATCGGTGGGTGTTGAGAATACTGGGAAGAAGTTGGAGGATAAGAGGACATCGATGGGTGTTGAGAATACTGGGAAGATGATGGTGGGTAAGAGGACATCGGTGGATGTTGAGAATACTGGGAAGAAGTTGGTGGATAAGAGGACATCGATGGTTGTTGAGAATACTGGGAAGATGTTGGAGGATAAGAAGACATCGGTGGATGTTGAGAATACTGGGAAGATGTTGATGGGTAAGAGGACATCGGTGGGTGTTGAGAATACTGGGAAGATGTTGGTGGGTAAGAGGACATCGGTGGATGATGAGAATACTGGGAAGAAGTTGGTGGATAAGAGGACATCGGTGGGTGTTGAGAATACTGGGAAGATGTTTGAGGATAAGAAGACATCGGTGGATGTTGAGAATACTGGGATGATGTTGGTGGAAAAGAAGACATCGATGGATACTGAGAATAGAAGGAAGAAGTTGGAGGATAAGAAGACATCGATGGATACTGAGAATAGTAGGAAGATGCTGGAGGATAAGAAGACAACGGGGGATGTTGAGAATACTGGGAAGATGTTTGAATATAAGAGGACATCGGTGGGTATTGAGAATACTGGGAAGATGTTGGTGGATAAGAAGACATCGATTGATACTGAGAATAGTAGGAAGATGTTGGAGGATAAGAAGACATCGGTGGATGTTGAGAATACTGGGAAGATGTTGGAGAATAAGAAGACATTGGTGGATGTTGAGAATACTGGGAAGATGTTGGAGGATAAGAAGACATCGATTGATACTGAGAATAGTAGGAAGATGTTGGTGGATAAGAAGACATCGATTGAAACTGAGAATAGTAGGAAGATGTTGGAGGATAAGAAGACATCGGTGGATGTTGAGAATACTGGGAAGATGTTGGAGGATAAGAAGACATCGGTGGATGTTGAGAATACTGGGAAGATGTTGGAGGATAAGAAGACATCGATTGATACTGAGAATGTTGGTGGATAAGTCGATTGAAACTGAAGATGTTGGAGGATAAGAAGACATCGGTGGATGTTGAGAATACTGGGAAGATGTTGGAGGATAAGAAGACATCGGTGGATGTTGAGAATACTGGGAAGATGTTGGAGGATAAGAAGACATCGGTGGGTATTGAGAATACTGGGAAGAGGTTGGAGGATAAGAGGACATTGATTGATACTGGGAAAACTGTGAGGTCATTGGAAGATAAGAAGACAAAGACTGATGTTGAGAATATTGTGAAGAGGTGTAAGGATATTGAGAGTATTGAGACGATGGTGATGGAGTTGTTATATTTTGGCAAATAACCCCCGCGTCATCGGCGAGTGCACAATTGCCCGACGTGTCCGAATGATCAACAGGACAAGCATAAACATCAGGTTCCATTCCTGTACATTGCACATTAAATATAGCTCTATTATAGCTGTAGTCTCGTGGCATGAGTTTTGCAACACCTGACGGGTAACCAAACTGTTGGCACAATACATCAGCGTCCAAATCATCCCATAGATAACCACAGACAGTCCCCGTATAGCCAGTTACATTATGTGTTGCCATTACTCTTCCATCATGTCCAATATATACCATATTGACAAGATCTAAGGGAAAAAATTAGAATTCAAAATATTCAGTTACATCAAGGCAACCATCAATGTTGTAATAGGTATTTATCCATGTATCAGTAATGTCTAAAAATATGAAAATAACAATAGGAGGAAATAAATTCAAAAGACCAAAGGGCCTTAATGGTCGTCTGAGTATAGTAAAACTCAGTTATAACGAAGACACTGAAAATACTTCGCTATACCCATAATTCGTTATATCAATATAAGGAATTCATTAGATATATATAGTTCAGGATCCAAGATAACTTTGCTTTATCCGTAAATTCGTAATATCCAAATTCGTACTAAACGAGTTTTACTGTATAAAGCAATGATGAGTTGAGAGGATTTTCGAAGAAATAATACATCTGTATATTCTTAAAATTTAATCACTAGAGCCCTTTCTGACTCTCTTAATCCTAAAACATGGGCGTTGAATTTCAAAATTAAAAAGAAAACAAGCTTGTTCTTCCTAATCAAGACTCAGGTGTCTGCTATTTTTATTTTTACAGAAGGGCCATTTTTAAGACTTACAAAAAAAATGCATATATTTACCATGTACACAACAGATCCCCCCAAACCCCAGAAACCCTTGAAAAACCTAATCTAGCCATTTAATTAAATTTTTGAATTTATGCATCCTTGCTGATTACAGCCAAGTATGTATTTCATTACATGATCTTTACCAGTCTTTTGTGTTACTATATCTTTTTTTCTTTCAAAATTGAATCCTCAAGAAAGTTATGTAAATTAACATTAGTATTTTTGACTCTGTTACACCTTTGAGTGTCCGTATGTTGAGAGAAAAAAAACATCTTGTATGGAAGGACACCCTGTCAAAACAAAACACCCATTTATATCACCCAACAACAACATATACCCTCATCCTATTAAACTATTTTGAGCCTCGGGTACACTGAAGCGATTTTCACTTGAAGAAAAACTGACCTTGGGAAGTATTCATGCAATTGACCCCTGCATCACCATGATAAGCACAGTTTCCTGACATATCCCACTCGTCTACAGGACATTGTTGAACGTCGGTTTCGTAACCCTGACATCGAACGTTAAAGATGAGGTGATTGTTCATGTAGTCACGTGGAAGAAAACTGGCAGTTCCAGAAGGATATCCCATCTGTCGACAAACAACGTCGGCATCCTTATCATCCCATTTGTCACTGCACACCGTCCCTGTTCCGTTCATGGTTTGAGCGAACACCCTACCTCCCGGTCCCACCCAAACAGTTGAATGTCCTTTTCAAAGAGGATACAAAATTACATTTAGGAACATTCGATAGATGTTGTTAATTGACTGATTGATTTTTCTCCCTTTACTTCCTTTAAACGTTTTTTGCTGTGATTTATACATTTTATGTGATGAATACTTGAAAGACATCAGAAAATAATAAATATGTTGTCTTCCTCCAACCCCTCTTCCAAAAACAATGGCATCTTTAAACAATTTCGATTCATTCGAAAAGTACATCTTTGTCAATGCCTGATGCTTCAGGAAGTGTTGAGAGTTGATACATGACGAATCTATACCCATTTATTGAATCAACTAAATTTAAAGAAAAACAACTTTAATCTTCTGTTTTATTTCATTGAAAGAAAAGCATTTTTAGTATGCCTTGTTCCACTCCTATTTCTTACATAATATTTCTTGGGCAAAGTGAAAGATCATAATTATCCTTTCTTTAAATTGTTTAACTTGACTTCCAACTATTGTTGTTGAAGTGGAACTAGTAATACCAATATTTTCTGCAGCAGCACACAAGAGGGTCATATCTTGTACTGAATGTGATGATTTAAGTATAGTACTAACCCTGAGTCGTATTCATGCAATTGACTCCGGCGTCACCATGATAATAACAATTTCCAAACAAGTCTGAGTGGTCTACTGGACATTGTTGAACGTCGGTTTCGTTACCCTGACAACGAACATTAAATATGACGTGGTTGTACATGTGGTCACGTGGATGGAAACTGGCAGTTCCAGAAGGATATCCCATCTGTCGACAAAACACGTTGGCGTCCATATCATCCCATTGGTCACTGCACACCGTCCCTGTTCCGTTCATGGTGTGAGCTAGCACTCTTCCTCCAGGTCCCAGTGTCACGGATGATTGAACTTTTGAAATAAACGTAGATATAGAGGCCAATTATTTGAATCTGTAAATCGTCAAGTTTCATAACTAGAAATCGCATTCCTGATCATATATAAAAATATGTTACCCAGTAATGACCTTACTTTTGTAAAAGTATCTTCTTCAGCGATATTTTATGGCAATGATTTATTGTGATTTAGGTAGATTTTGATACGTTCATTTTTGATTGTAAATGTAATTATTTATCATAGACAATTGTACAAGATATCACACGCTGTCTTGAATTTAGCTGAGAATGCTTTCCGCCAAATGTACAATATATACAACACAAATCAAATATACAGGTAATGTATTTGGAGTATTAATCGAATATGTTCGTGCTTCTTCTTCCTTATTTCTGATTTCTCTTTCAAATTACCAAGGCATATACATTTCTCTTATGTACATACTCTCCTATCTTACCATTGGTCATGTTACTGCAGGAAACACCTGCATCATCAGCATATCCACACATTCCTGACATATCATAGTCTTCGCCCTGACAAGATTGAAGTTGGGACTCGTGTCCGAAACAGTTGACACTATATAACAGGCGGTTGTACGTGTAATCACGTGGCAAGTGGATTGCAGTTCCGGAGGAAAATCCCATCTGACGGCAGACGACATTAGCATCGACGTCATCCCACATGTTACCGCATACTGTGCCAGTCGTGTTACTGTGAACTAATACTCTTCCACTGGGTTCGATAGATACAATGGGTTGAATACCTGAAACATGTGGAAAAGCCCTATAAACATTATTGACACTATCATCAATTCTTGAACTGATTTATGATTTGAGCTTCACTGGTCTTTTGTCTTGTTCCATCTTTTTATTCTTTCAAAATTGATTCTTGAAGAAAGATATGTAAATCACACTGTTTTTTTTCCTTAGTCTCTGACACCTTTGTGCATTCAGAATGTTAACTTTATTGTGAAAAAAACACTTTGTATGAAAGGACACGCTGTCATGATCAAACATCCATTTATATCGCTCGACAACAACACGTACCCTCATCCTATTAAACTACTATTTTTAGCCCTGGGGTATCTTTGAATTGATTTTCACTTTAAAAAAAACAAACCTTGGGAAGTATTCATGCAATTGACGCCTGCATCACCATGATAAGCACAGTTTCCTGACATATCCCACTCGTCTACAGGACATTGTTGAACGTCGGTTTCGTAACCCTGACATCGAACGTTAAAGATGAGGTGATTGTTCATGTAGTCACGTGGAAGAAAACTGGCAGTTCCAGAAGGATATCCCATCTGTCGACAAACAACGTCGGCGTCCTTATCATCCCATTGGTCACTGCACACCGTCCCTGTTCCGTTTATGGTTTGAGCGAACACCCTACCTCCCGGTCCCACCCAAACAGTTGAATGTCCTTTTCAAAGAGGATACAAAATTATATTTAGGAACATTCGATAGATGTTGTTAATTGACTGATTGATTTTTCTCCCTTTACTTTCTTCAAAAGTATTTTGCCGTGATTTATGCATTTTATGTGATGAATACTTGAAAGACATCAGAAAATAATAAATATGTTGTCTTCCTCCAACCCTTCTTCCAAAAACAATGGCATCTTTAAACAATTTCGATTCATTCCAAAAGTACATCTTTGTCAATGCCTGATGCTTCAGGAAGTGTTGAGAGTTGATATATGACGAATCTATACACATTTATTGAATCAAATTTAAAGAAAAACAACTTTAATCTTCTGTTTTATTTCATTGAAAGAAAAGCATTTTTAGTAAGCCTTGTTCCATTCCTATTTCTTACATAATATTTCTTGGGCAAAGTGAAAGCATCATAATTATCCTTTCTTTAAATTGTTTAACTTGACTTCCAACTATTGTTGTTGAAGTGGAACTAGTAATACCAATATTTTCTGCAGCAGCACACAAGAGGGTCATATCTTGTACTGAATGTGATGATTTAAGTATAGTACTAACCCTGAGTCGTATTCATGCAATTGACTCCGGCGTCACCATGATAATAACAATTTCCAAACAAGTCTGAGTGGTCTACTGGACATTGTTGAACGTCGGTTTCGTTACCCTGACAACGAACATTAAATATGACGTGGTTGTACATGTGGTCACGTGGATGGAAACTGGCAGTTCCAGAAGGATATCCCATCTGTCGACAAAACACGTTGGCGTCCATATCATCCCATTGGTCACTGCACACCGTCCCTGTTCCGTTCATGGTGTGAGCTAGCACTCTTCCTCCAGGTCCCAGTGTCACGGATGATTGAACTTTTGAAATAAACGTAGATATAGAGGCCAATTATTTGAATCTGTAAATCGTCAAGTTTCATAACTAGAAATCGCATTCCTGATCATATATAAAAATATGTTACCCAGTAATGACCTTACTTTTGTAAAAGTATCTTCTTCAGCGATATTTTATGGCAATGATTTATTGTGATTTAGGTAGATTTTGATACGTTCATTTTTGATTGTAAATGTAATTATTTATCATAGACAATTGTACAAGATATCACACGCTGTCTTGAATTTAGCTGAGAATGCTTTCCGCCAAATGTACAATACATACAACACAAATCAAATATACAGGTAATGTATTTGGAGTATTAATCGAATATGTTCGTGCTTCTTCTTCCTTATTTCTGATTTCTCTTTCAAATTACCAAGGCATATACATTTCTCTTATGTACATACTCTCCTATCTTACCATTGGTCATGTTACTGCAGGAAACACCTGCATCATCAGCATATCCACACATTCCTGACATATCATAGTCTTCGCCCTGACAAGATTGAAGTTGGGACTCGTGTCCGAAACAGTTGACACTATATAACAGGCGGTTGTACGTGTAATCACGTGGCAAGTGGATTGCAGTTCCGGAGGAAATCCCATCTGACGGCAGACGACATTAGCATCGACGTCATCCCACATGTTACCGCATACTGTGCCAGTCGTGTTACTGTGAACTAATACTCTTCCACTGGGTTCGATAGATACAATGGGTTGAATACCTGAAACATGTGGAAAAGCCCTATAAACATTATTGACACTATCATCAATTCTTGAACTGATTTATGATTTGAGCTTCACTGGTCTTTTGTCTTGTTCCATCTTTTTATTCTTTCAAAATTGATTCTTGAAGAAAGATATGTAAATCACACTGTTTTTTTTTTCCTTAGTCTCTGACACCTTTGTGCATTCAGAATGTTAACTTTATTGTGAAAAAAACACTTTGTATGAAAGGACACGCTGTCATGATCAAACATCCATTTATATCGCTCGACAACAACACGTACCCTCATCCTATTAAACTACTATTTTTAGCCCTGGGGTATCTTTGAATTGATTTTCACTTTAAAAAAAAACAAACCTTGGGAAGTATTCATGCAATTGACGCCTGCATCACCATGATAAGCACAGTTTCCTGACATATCCCACTCGTCTACAGGACATTGTTGAACGTCGGTTTCGTAACCCTGACATCGAACGTTAAAGATGAGGTGATTGTTCATGTAGTCACGTGGAAGAAAACTGGCAGTTCCAGAAGGATATCCCATCTGTCGACAAACAACGTCGGCGTCCTTATCATCCCATTGGTCACTGCACACCGTCCCTGTTCCGTTTATGGTTTGAGCGAACACCCTACCTCCCGGTCCCACCCAAACAGTTGAATGTCCTTTTCAAAGAGGATACAAAATTATATTTAGGAACATTCGATAGATGTTGTTAATTGACTGATTGATTTTTCTCCCTTTACTTTCTTCAAAAGTATTTTGCCGTGATTTATGCATTTTATGTGATGAATACTTGAAAGACATCAGAAAATAATAAATATGTTGTCTTCCTCCAACCCTTCTTCCAAAAACAATGGCATCTTTAAACAATTTCGATTCATTCCAAAAGTACATCTTTGTCAATGCCTGATGCTTCAGGAAGTGTTGAGAGTTGATATATGACGAATCTATACACATTTATTGAATCAAATTTAAAGAAAAACAACTTTAATCTTCTGTTTTATTTCATTGAAAGAAAAGCATTTTTAGTAAGCCTTGTTCCATTCCTATTTCTTACATAATATTTCTTGGGCAAAGTGAAAGCATCATAATTATCCTTTCTTTAAATTGTTTAACTTGACTTCCAACTATTGTTGTTGAAGTGGAACTAGTAATACCAATATTTTCTGCAGCAGCACACAAGAGGGTCATATCTTGTACTGAATGTGATGATTTAAGTATAGTACTAACCCTGAGTCGTATTCATGCAATTGACTCCGGCGTCACCATGATAATAACAATTTCCAAACAAGTCTGAGTGGTCTACTGGACATTGTTGAACGTCGGTTTCGTTACCCTGACAACGAACATTAAATATGACGTGGTTGTACATGTGGTCACGTGGATGGAAACTGGCAGTTCCAGAAGGATATCCCATCTGTCGACAAAACACGTTGGCGTCCATATCATCCCATTGGTCACTGCACACCGTCCCTGTTCCGTTCATGGTGTGAGCTAGCACTCTTCCTCCAGGTCCCAGTGTCACGGATGATTGAACTTTTGAAATAAACGTAGATATAGAGGCCAATTATTTGAATCTGTAAATCGTCAAGTTTCATAACTAGAAATCGCATTCCTGATCATATATAAAAATATGTTACCCAGTAATGACCTTACTTTTGTAAAAGTATCTTCTTCAGCGATATTTTATGGCAATGATTTATTGTGATTTAGGTAGATTTTGATACGTTCATTTTTGATTGTAAATGTAATTATTTATCATAGACAATTGTACAAGATATCACACGCTGTCTTGAATTTAGCTGAGAATGCTTTCCGCCAAATGTACAATACATACAACACAAATCAAATATACAGGTAATGTATTTGGAGTATTAATCGAATATGTTCGTGCTTCTTCTTCCTTATTTCTGATTTCTCTTTCAAATTACCAAGGCATATACATTTCTCTTATGTACATACTCTCCTATCTTACCATTGGTCATGTTACTGCAGGAAACACCTGCATCATCAGCATATCCACACATTCCTGACATATCATAGTCTTCGCCCTGACAAGATTGAAGTTGGGACTCGTGTCCGAAACAGTTGACACTATATAACAGGCGGTTGTACGTGTAATCACGTGGCAAGTGGATTGCAGTTCCGGAGGAAAATCCCATCTGACGGCAGACGACATTAGCATCGACGTCATCCCACATGTTACCGCATACTGTGCCAGTCGTGTTACTGTGAACTAATACTCTTCCACTGGGTTCGATAGATACAATGGGTTGAATACCTGAAACATGTGGAAAAGCCCTATAAACATTATTGACACTATCATCAATTCTTGAACTGATTTATGATTTGAGCTTCACTGGTCTTTTGTCTTGTTCCATCTTTTTATTCTTTCAAAATTGATTCTTGAAGAAAGATATGTAAATCACACTGTTTTTTTTTCCTTAGTCTCTGACACCTTTGTGCATTCAGAATGTTAACTTTATTGTGAAAAAAACACTTTGTATGAAAGGACACGCTGTCATGATCAAACATCCATTTATATCGCTCGACAACAACACGTACCCTCATCCTATTAAACTACTATTTTTAGCCCTGGGGTATCTTTGAATTGATTTTCACTTTAAAAAAAACAAACCTTGGGAAGTATTCATGCAATTGACGCCTGCATCACCATGATAAGCACAGTTTCCTGACATATCCCACTCGTCTACAGGACATTGTTGAACGTCGGTTTCGTAACCCTGACATCGAACGTTAAAGATGAGGTGATTGTTCATGTAGTCACGTGGAAGAAAACTGGCAGTTCCAGAAGGATATCCCATCTGTCGACAAACAACGTCGGCGTCCTTATCATCCCATTGGTCACTGCACACCGTCCCTGTTCCGTTTATGGTTTGAGCGAACACCCTACCTCCCGGTCCCACCCAAACAGTTGAATGTCCTTTTCAAAGAGGATACAAAATTATATTTAGGAACATTCGATAGATGTTGTTAATTGACTGATTGATTTTTCTCCCTTTACTTTCTTCAAAAGTATTTTGCCGTGATTTATGCATTTTATGTGATGAATACTTGAAAGACATCAGAAAATAATAAATATGTTGTCTTCCTCCAACCCTTCTTCCAAAAACAATGGCATCTTTAAACAATTTCGATTCATTCCAAAAGTACATCTTTGTCAATGCCTGATGCTTCAGGAAGTGTTGAGAGTTGATATATGACGAATCTATACACATTTATTGAATCAAATTTAAAGAAAAACAACTTTAATCTTCTGTTTTATTTCATTGAAAGAAAAGCATTTTTAGTAAGCCTTGTTCCATTCCTATTTCTTACATAATATTTCTTGGGCAAAGTGAAAGCATCATAATTATCCTTTCTTTAAATTGTTTAACTTGACTTCCAACTATTGTTGTTGAAGTGGAACTAGTAATACCAATATTTTCTGCAGCAGCACACAAGAGGGTCATATCTTGTACTGAATGTGATGATTTAAGTATAGTACTAACCCTGAGTCGTATTCATGCAATTGACTCCGGCGTCACCATGATAATAACAATTTCCAAACAAGTCTGAGTGGTCTACTGGACATTGTTGAACGTCGGTTTCGTTACCCTGACAACGAACATTAAATATGACGTGGTTGTACATGTGGTCACGTGGATGGAAACTGGCAGTTCCAGAAGGATATCCCATCTGTCGACAAAACACGTTGGCGTCCATATCATCCCATTGGTCACTGCACACCGTCCCTGTTCCGTTCATGGTGTGAGCTAGCACTCTTCCTCCAGGTCCCAGTGTCACGGATGATTGAACTTTTGAAATAAACGTAGATATAGAGGCCAATTATTTGAATCTGTAAATCGTCAAGTTTCATAACTAGAAATCGCATTCCTGATTATATATAAAAATATGTTACCCAGTAATGACCTTACTTTTGTAAAAGTATCTTCTTCAGCGATATTTTATGGCAATGATTTATTGTGATTTAGGTAGATTTTGATACGTTCATTTTTGATTGTAAATGTAATTATTTATCATAGACAATTGTACAAGATATCACACGCTGTCTTGAATTTAGCTGAGAATGCTTTCCGCCAAATGTACAATACATACAACACAAATCAAATATACAGGTAATGTATTTGGAGTATTAATCGAATATGTTCGTGCTTCTTCTTCCTTATTTCTGATTTCTCTTTCAAATTACCAAGGCATATACATTTCTCTTATGTACATACTCTCCTATCTTACCATTGGTCATGTTACTGCAGGAAACACCTGCATCATCAGCATATCCACACATTCCTGACATATCATAGTCTTCGCCCTGACAAGATTGAAGTTGGGACTCGTGTCCGAAACAGTTGACACTATATAACAGGCGGTTGTACGTGTAATCACGTGGCAAGTGGATTGCAGTTCCGGAGGAAAATCCCATCTGACGGCAGACGACATTAGCATCGACGTCATCCCACATGTTACCGCATACTGTGCCAGTCGTGTTACTGTGAACTAATACTCTTCCACTGGGTTCGATAGATACAATGGGTTGAATACCTGAAACATGTGGAAAAGCCCTATAAACATTATTGACACTATCATCAATTCTTGAACTGATTTATGATTTGAGCTTCACTGGTCTTTTGTCTTGTTCCATCTTTTTATTCTTTCAAAATTGATTCTTGAAGAAAGATATGTAAATCACACTGTTTTTTTTTTCCTTAGTCTCTGACACCTTTGTGCATTCAGAATGTTAACTTTATTGTGAAAAAAACACTTTGTATGAAAGGACACGCTGTCATGATCAAACATCCATTTATATCGCTCGACAACAACACGTACCCTCATCCTATTAAACTACTATTTTTAGCCCTGGGGTATCTTTGAATTGATTTTCACTTTAAAAAAAACAAACCTTGGGAAGTATTCATGCAATTGACGCCTGCATCACCATGATAAGCACAGTTTCCTGACATATCCCACTCGTCTACAGGACATTGTTGAACGTCGGTTTCGTAACCCTGACATCGAACGTTAAAGATGAGGTGATTGTTCATGTAGTCACGTGGAAGAAAACTGGCAGTTCCAGAAGGATATCCCATCTGTCGACAAACAACGTCGGCGTCCTTATCATCCCATTGGTCACTGCACACCGTCCCTGTTCCGTTTATGGTTTGAGCGAACACCCTACCTCCTGGTCCCACCCAAACAGTTGAATGTCCTTTTTGGAAAAACATACAAATTTATAATTCCCTTTCTTTCCTATAATTTTTTTTTCTGTCGTAATTTAGCATTTTATGTGATGAATATTTGAAAGGCATAGCAAAATGCTAGTAATGCTTTGCATTTTTCCAACCGCTCTCTCGGAAAAAAATATCTTAGAAAAGTTTTTATCCATTCAAAATATTGTATGGTAAAGTTCGCTGGAAAACTACATCTTGTTAATGACCGTTGCTTCATAAATTGTTGAGGGTAGGTATATGTTTAATCCATACCCATTTATTGCATCAAAAAATGGGGGTTTTTTTTAAATTGAGAAAAGGGCATTATGATGTGTTTTCATTTTATTGAAAGAAAAGTATTTTTAGTATGTCTTGTTCCATTTTTATTCTTATACTTTATTTGTTGAACAAAGTTAGAACATAGAAATTATTATTTGCTCGAAAAGTCTACCTTGACTTCCAACTGTTGTTGTGGAAGTGGAACAAGTAATGCCAACATCATCTGCACCAGGACACATGAGGCTCATATCTTGTGTATCGTAGGAACAGTCTTCCAATCTCGCCTCCGTTCCACTGCATTGAACGTTGAATAGGGCATGTGGAAGACTCGACCTAGGAAGAGCGTAAGATGTCCCTGAGGTACCGTATCCTAGCTGCCGACATAAAACGCTGGCATCGTTGTTGTCAAACTCCCAGATACAAGCCGTTCCAGTAATACTTCCTCCACTAAGCACTAGCAAGCGATCGTCCACATCTATCATCAAGGTCAAAGCTGGCTGGCCTAAACATAAATGCATTTTACATTGATTTCTATTTAAAATTTGTTTAAATATTTTGATTTATATACTTCTCATTTTGATTGATTGATTGGTTGTATGTTGTTTAACGCCCCTCTCGAAAATTTTTACTCATACGGAGACACCACCACTTGCAGATTGAGAGTTGCAAATTTTGTCCTATACTCGGCACTTAGGACTATTGAGCAGTGAGAGTTTTTCGTGCCAACACCTATAGCAAACTCAGTTTATAGGTCTCATCTGAAGAAACGGTTTCCACGTCCCACAGATGAATTCGAACCTGCGACGTAAGGATCTAACCACTGCGTCTGCTGAATCAATCAATCTCTTCATTTACCCTTAATATTCAATAACAAGGAGGTTGTCCAAGAAAAACATTTTAAATATTTCATTAACTACAATGGCATTGTTTTTCATTTTGTTGATTTTGATGAGAAATGATATTTTTCTCATGTTTTTTAAAATATAAAAAGGATAATATTAAACCCTAACATAACAGCATGCTTAGGATATAATATAGGTGGTCGGCACGGCGTATTTTTGTTTTTATTATCAAGATGACATTGTCATGGATGTTTTATATATTGCTAGTTTTTGTAAACATAAAAAGAACAAATTTTTATTCATAAAAAAAAACTGAAGTACTTGTAAAAAATCATAAAAGAAAAAATATGACAGATGCAACATTTTCGAAAGAAATTGTGAAAATTGTAAATTTAGGCAATAATTCGGATAGCAAAATTATTATGCAGTATTATGCTGAGAAGAAAATGACTCATGTTCATTTAGGGAAGGAGATGAATATGATAGAATGACACAAAAACGAGTCAGGGACGCTCGATTATCCGTAGCAAAAGAGGTTAAGTTCAAGGATGGCGGGATTAGTAATCCGATGGAAGAAGCGTTTGCTAGCCCAACAATATAGGTGATAAACTAAGAGACGCACTATTCCTGAATAAATTGAAAAATTCACATGAAAATGTGCAATATTTGATAACGTTAGAAGGCACAGGGAGCACTTTAGTTTTCAGTAAGTTTAGTAATGACGCTTCAACAAACTTGTCCAATCTCCAATACTTTTGCAGAAAAAGCGAATTGGAATATCAGCAATGCATTTTCTAATTGCAAATTGATCAACAAATATAGTTTAGATTAAAAAACGATATGTATCCAGGCATTCAGAGAAATTTTCATGATTTTTATTCTTAATTCGTATTTTTTGTCTTCTATTTCTGTCATGTATTTTATAAGATATAGTGTAAAATATTTTGCTATCGATGCAAGACACCACAAATCACTTCTTATTTCATATCATGCTAATAAGCATTAGTATCTAAGGCTGGATTCAAGAAAATATCTCATTTCTCTAAAACTGTATTATTTTTTTTTCCTTTTATAGGGTACAAATGTCAACTTTTATAAGACCTTTTCTAAGACTTCCAAAAACCTTGAATCTTATAAAGATGAATAAAATGAAAATTGTTGCATGGAAAAATTTCATTTCAAGTTTTTTTTTATGCATTTCAAATTAAATATCAATTTTTGGAGTTATCCTTCCTGGCTGAGGATCAGATATCCTTAAATGAGCCCGCTAATATACTAGTACTTTCTCTAATTCTGCTGAGTCAGATCTAGACCTTATCAACGTTTGGAAGATTATCCGAACATGGGAGATGGCACTTGATTTCAAAACTAATTCAACCATGATTATACTGTTAAAGGTACTTGGACACAGATTTGAAGTTAATTTTTTCTGTATAATATCACGAATTATATATTTTGATAGCATTTCACCCAAAAATTAATTTAAAATCTTACTTCATTAAAAAGATATTAAAACTTTAAATTTTTTGGCGGGTTTGATTGACACATCCTTGCACTTTCACAAATTTTAACTTTATTCTTAATCCTTAGGAAAAGTGGCAATCTTGTTGTGTATTATTGAGAAATATTAAAACCTTTATCCAGAAAAATAATTTTATTCAGAGTAGAAATGTTAGAAAGCAAAACTCCTTCACAAGCATCGTCATTCCGTTGTGTACAGAGTTTAGCAAATCGAGCACACTCGTGTTATGTACACAGTTTTTGTAAACAAGGCAAGAGCCTGTTATTGTTTGGTGCTTACGATTCACCTGGTGCGTTTAATCGCCAAAGTCTGCTCACCACAACTGCACGGACTGACAATATATTGTGGGTTTGTTTTGCTTTCGAACATGTCTACTCTTAATTTTCTGGATTATAGTATTAATATTTTTCATTCATACACAACAAGATTGCCATTTTCCCTAAGGATTAAGAATAGAGTTAAAATTTGTGAAAGTGCAAGGACGTGTCAATCAAACCCGCCAAAAAAATAAAAAAATTAATAACTTATAAATGAAATAAGATTTTTAATTAATTTTTGTGTGAAATGCTATTAAAATAAATAAGTCGTAATATCATAGAGAAAAAATTAACTTCAAATCTGTGTCCAAGTACCTTTAATAAATCGATCAATGAATTTCAATGCAGTCCATTTAAACTGTACAAATCGGGAGCAGAGCAAATACGGGCCTCCAAAACATCAGAGGCGGACCAGGTGCCACAGAGCAGTAAGTATCCCCTGTCGACCGGTCACATCTGACGTGTTTTGAGTAAACATTATTTAAACGAGGTATTACAAAGCCTATCTTGTTCTTTTAAGATGTTCCGAGAGTTGAAAAAGCAAATCGTAACCTCATTTCTAATAATCATTCACCTGAACTTGATACAGCTGTTGTGGGAGTGGAACAAGTAATGCCAACATCATCTGCACCAGGACACATATTATCTTGTGTATCGTGTGTCGGTTCCACTGCATTGAACGTTGAATAAGGCATGTGGAAGACTCGAAGGAAGAGCATGTTTACCCTAACTGTCGACAGATGAATTTGTTGTCAAATTCCCAGATACAAGCCGTTCCAACAAGACTTCCTCCACTGAACACCAGGAGACGGTCATCCACATCTATGCCCAGGGTATAAGCAGGCTGACCTACATATGGATTTGAGCATACATTATATCTATTCCTTTAAAATGATAAATACAGCATTCATTAATCGGTTTGATCTGCAGGAGATGTTTGAACGTTTGATAGATGAAATATTGGACCACTATGGCCTTTAAAGGTACTTGGACACAGATTTGAAGTTAATATTTTCTGTATAATATCACGAATTATATATTTTAATACCATTTCACACAAAAATTAATTAAAAATCTTACTTCATTTAAAAGTTATTAAAACTTTAAATTTTTTGGCGGATTTTTGAATTTTAACAAATTTTAACTTTATTCATAATCCTAAGGAAAAGTGGCAATCTTGTTGTGTATTAATGAGAAATATTAAAACTTAAATCCAGAAAAATAATTTTATTCAGAGTAGAAATGTTAGAAAGTAAAACTCCTTCACAAAGATTGTCATTCCGTTGTGTGCAGAGTTTAGCAAATCGAGCACACTTGTGTTATAAAAACAGTTTTTGTAAACAGGGCTAGAGCTCTATTATTGTTTGTTGTTTACGATTCACCGGGTGCGTTTAATAGCCAAAGTCTGCTCACCACAACTGCACGGACTGACAATATATTGTGTGTTTGTTTTGCTTTCGAACATGTCTACTCTGAATTTTCTGGATTATAGTATTAATATTTTTCATTCATACACTTCACTACAAGATTGTCACTTTTCCAAAGGATTAAATGTAAAGTTAAAATTTCTGAAAGTGCAAGGATGTGTCAATCAAACCCGCCAAAAAAATTAAAATTGTAATAACTTTTAAATGAGAAAAGATTTTTAATCAATTTTTATGTGAAATGCTATTAAAATATATAAGTCGTAATATTATAGAGAAAATATTAACTTCAAATCTGTGTCCAAGTACCTTTAATGCTTCAGCGAAATTAAGCGGAATCACCTATACCTTTTTCATGGAAGTGACCGAACTGAATTTGTAATGGCGAATAATATTTCCATTTTCAATTTTTATGCCCTCTTAATCGAAGATTCGCGGTATTTAGTTTTTGCCCTGTCCGTCCGTCTGTCTGTCTTTCTATTGTCCGTAAAAATTTTAGTCTCGCACATAACTTGAAATTGATTGGAGCTATGACTTTCATATCTCACATGTGTATTTTTTGTGATAGGCCTTCCTTTAGGTACCAACGTATTTGACTTTTTGACCTTGGAGTTTGTCCCACTCTCACAAAAATTATTCAATCTTTAACCTAATTCATACCTTTTTTACATTAGGTGTTCGGGCTTTTATCCTTCACATGTATGTTTATTGTGACAAGACACTTCTAATGATCTAATTACAGCATGGATAAGGAATAAATATATTATGAATACAGAAAAAAGGGTGTTTTATAATACATACATTGTGGTAAGTATTAATGGGGAAAAATGGTTTTGCAAAGTCTGTCTTGGGTGTTGAAAAGGCTAACCATAATATTCATTCCTAATAATCATTCACCTGAACTTGAAACTGCTGTAGTAGGAGTGGAACAAGTAATAGCAACATCATCTGCACCAGGACACATGAGGCTCATATCTTGTGTATCGTAGGAACAGTCTTCCAATCTCGCCTCGGTTCCACTGCATTGAACGTTGAATAAGGCATGTGGAAGACTCGATCGAGGTAGAGCGTAATACGTCCCTGACGTACCGTACCCTAACTGTCGACAGATGACACTGGCATCGTTGTTGTCAAATTCCCAAATACAAGCCGTTCCAACAAGACTTCCTCCACTGAACACCAGGAGACGGTCATCCACATCTATGCCCAGGGTTTGAGCCGACTGACCTGGATGTAAAATTGTGGG